GTCAGTGTTGGGAGCACACCTTTTCACTTTATACATTAATAATCTAGATGAAGGAACTCAGGGCACTCTGGCTATGTTTGCAGAAAATACAAAGATAGGTGGAGGGACAGGTAGTATTGAGGAGGCAGGGAGGCTGCAGAAGGATTTAGACAGGTTAGGAGAGTAGACAAAGAAGTGGCAGATGAAATATTACGTGGGAAAGTGTGAGGTCATGCACTTTGGCATAAACTATTTTCTAACTGGGGAGAAAATTCAGAAATCTGAAGTGCAAAGGGACTTGGGAGTCCTAGTCCAGGATTCTCTTAAGGTAAACGTACATGTTGAGTCAGTAGTTAGGAAAGTAAATACAATGTTGGCAATTACAGAACTAGAATATAAAAGCAGGAATGTACTTCTGAAGCTTTATAACGCTCTGGTCAGACCACATCTAGAATAGTGTGAGCAATTTTGGGCACCATACCTCAGGAAGGATATACTGGCCCTGGAGAGGTTCCAGAGGAGTTCACAAGAATGATCCCAGGAATAGAAGGCTTAACATATGAGGAACGTTTGAGGACTCTGGATCTACACTCGATGAAGTTTAGAAGGATGAGGGGGGATCTAATTGAAATTTACACAATACTGAACAGTCTGAACAGAGTGGACGATGGGAAGATGTTTCAATTAGCAGGAGATGTTTCCATTAGGAGGACCTGAGGGCCTTGGAGTAAAGGGAAAGCCCTTTAGAACAGAGACGAGGAGAAACCTCTTCAGCCAGATAGTGGTGAATCTATGGAACTCATTGCCACAGAAGGTTGTGGAGACCAGGTCATTGAGTATATTTAAGACAGAGATAGACAGTTTCTTGATTGTCAAGGGGATCAAATGCTTTGGGGAGAAAATGGGAGAATGGGGTTGAGAAACTTATCAGCTTTGATTGAATGGTGGAACAGACTCAATGGGCTGAATGGGCTAATTTCTGCTCCTATGTCTTATGGTCTTATATAGAGTCACAGCCATGGCCATAGAGTCATACAGCCATACAGCAAGGAAACAGACCCTTCAGTCCAACTAGTCCATGCCAAACCTGTTCCCAAACTAAACTAGTCCCACCTGCCTTTGCTTGGTCCATATCCCTCCAAACCTTTCCTATTCATGAACTTGTCCAAATGTCTTTTAAATGTTGTAACTGTATCTGCATCCACCACTTCCTCTGGCAGTTCATTCCATATACGAACCACTCTGTGTAAAGACCTTGCTCCTCATGTCCTTTCTAAATCTTTCCCCTCTCTCTTTAAAAATATGTCCCCAAATTTTGAACTCCCTCAACCTAGAGAAAAGACTTTTGCTATTCACCTTATCTATGCCCCTCATGAATTTATAAACCTCCAATTTAATAATATTCTTCCTATAGCAGGGCAAACAGCACTGTGCACAGTACTCCAGAAGAGGCCTCACCAACTTCTTGTACAACCTCAGCATGACATCCCAACTCCTACACTCAAAGGTCTGAGCAATGAAGGCAAGAATGCTAAACGCCTTCTTAACCACCCTATATATATGTGACGCAAATTTCAAAGAATTATATACAACATGCAGAAACCTGTTTTAGAACTCAAATGAGTTCTGTCTTGAATATTTGGACAAAACAAGGAGGCTGGTAGATATATCTATACATAGTTTTAATGTAAGTTAATCAGCTGGAATGACACACTGGAATTATATCACACAATGTATAGTATTAAGTATTGAGTGCGTTAGGAATCTTACAGTCTGATTTAAACTCAGTATTCCTAAACAAGCCTCAGGCACTTTTACAATAAAACTTAATTTTCATGTTGCTTCATGCAGTCTAACTAAACTTAAAGTTGTCACACAGGTTTAAACAACATATCCTCTAACTCACCAGGAACATCAATGATACAAAAACATTACATACACACAAATTTAATGCATTGCAGCCTTCACATAACGTCAACCCACATTCACCTTAAACACATTAAACATTGCATGAAGGCACTTAAAATCCAACAGTGAGGCAGCCACACAAGGAGATGTTGAGACAGGTGGTCAACAGCTTGGTAAGAGAAGTAGGTTTAAGGCCAGTCTTATAAGATGAGCAGTTTGGAGAAGCTTATAGAGCAGGGGGCTAAGGCTAGCATCATTCATTATAGACAGTTTAAAGTCAGGAAAGTAGAAGAGACTAGAATTGGAGAAGTGCAGATATGTAGGTGGTCTGTAGGGTTGGTGACAGAACACCGTTAGAGAGAGAGAGAGAGAGAGTGAGAGAGTGACGAAGAGCTGGGATGTTTGAAAACAGGGAGGAGAATTTTCAAGTTCAGCTTTAACCACTACCAATGGAATGAAAACCAGGCAGATTTGATAAGCTGCAGATGATATGCTATGCTTGAAATCTTTCCAGACAGGAGAGGTGAAAATTCACTGAAAGTTCTCCAGGGATAGCATCTGGGAATTACTCATTCCAAAGTGAATTGAATTAAATTGAAGAGATATACTGGTGTTTTGCATTCACCATGTTCCATTTTGAAGTTCAGCTTCAGCAAAACTTACGAGCCTGTTCATTTTAATCTAAACTACAAGTGAAAGATTCAGGAGACAGAAATGCTTTCATTAAATATAGAAACCACAAAGCATATAGCTTGTCCTTGGGAAAAGTGGAAAGGGTTAACTTTGTCAGTATATAATCACTCATTCATAAGAATTAGAACTGTGATCACATAGGTAACTTCAACTAAAGAGTTTAGAAAGGATCAGGGCTCATAATCCCAAGTTCTGTAAAGCATAAACTATGACAGAAATGATTCCCCCACCCCTACTCCATAGAAAATTGGGACTGTGGAAAAGACTTTTGGCTAAAATTATGACTCACTAAGTTCCTTTAACTGAGAGTGGCATCTATTTCTTGCTAGGATGTAATTATATTACATTTATATAATTACAATATAATTATAATTATATTAATACTCTCTGATAATTAACCAAACCACAGTTGATGCTAATGTATTGCCCTGAAGCCCAAGTCCTCATTTTATGTCATACTGTAACCTCTTCTGTGGTAACTTATAGAATGCATTTGGGAAATCCAAATACTCTACATCTACCAACTCCATCTGACACACCAAGTTAGTTACAAAGAATTTGAACAAATTTGTCAAATGAAATTTAACTTTCATAAATCTGTCTTGACTCTGAATGACTTGCATTTGTTTTCTTTCTCATTTCTCAAATGGCGAGGTTGCATTTGCTACCTCCCAATCTAGAATCTAGGAAAATGTCAGAAGCAATTTAAAGCTGATTTCAATGTCAATGAAATTTTGGCCTCTATGCCATGTTCAGCACTGTCTAATGATTGTGTATATATGTGTCCGTGTGTGTGTGTGTGTGTGTGTGTGTGTCCTTGAACCAGGGGCAGTTGTGAGTTCAATACTTAACTGTAGTGTTTACTTTTTTCTCTTCCATATTTTGTTTTTAGGTTTTGGAAACACATTTCTGAGAAGATGCGCTGGAAAAGGTCTAAACAACACATACTTTACCAATTACAAATCTCCTTTGCATACCTTTGTGAATATCACAAAATCTGACCCAAATTTAAGAAGGGATGACAAGTTTTTATGATTTAAATGAATTTAGAAGGTTCACTCAACTCATTCCTGGGGTGAAGGGATTATTTTAAGAAGAAAGGTTGAACAAGTTTGGCATTCACATTAAAGTTTAAAAGAATGAGCAATGATCTTATTGAAACATGTAAGATCCTGCAGGAATCTAATAATGTGCATATGAGGTGTATGTTTCCTGTTATGGGGGTCTCTAGAACAAGGGAACACAGCTCAAGAATAAGAGGATTTCTTTTAACATGGAAATTAGGAGCTTTTTTTACTCCTCTGGTTATGGATAGTCTGTAGAATTGTTTTCCCCAGGAAACAGTGGAGGCTGGGTCATTGATTTTATCCAAGACAGTTAGGCAGATAGAATAGAATAGAATCCCTACAGTATGGAAACAGGCCATTTGGGCCAACAAGTCCACAACACTCCTCCGAAGAGCACCCCACCCAGACTCATTTCCCTACTCCTGTATTTCCATGTCTAACTCACCTAACCTAAACATCCCTGGGCACCATGGGCAACTTAGCATGGCCAATCCACCTACCCTGCATATCTTTGGACTGTGGGAGGAAACCGGAACACCCAGAGGAAACCGACGCAGACATGGGGAGAATGTGCAAACTCCACACAGACAGTCGCCCGAGGTTGGAATTGAACCCAGGTCCCTGGCGCTGTGAAGCAGCAGAGCTAACCCAAATAGACAAGGGAGTCAAAGGTAATGGGGGAAGTCAGGGAAGTGGACAGCCATGATCTATTGAATGGCAGAGCAGGCACCTGACTCCTATGTTCCTTAATTCTAGATATGAAATTCAATTTGGTAGCAATAGCAAAGGGGCTCTTGCTTCTTTCTATTTGATGCTCCCCATACTGTCAAGTAACAGTAATTCTGTAATAGTAGGAACTGCAGATGCTGGAGAATCCGAGACAACAAGATGCAGAGCTGGATGAACACAGCAGGCCAAGCAGCATCATAGGAGCAGGAAGGCTGACGTTTCGGGACTAGACCCTGAAGGGTCATACTTAATGGTGTATCCTACAAATGTAAACAGTTCAGTTCAAATTTATCTTAACTAATGGAGTGCTTGATGATTCAGTGCAGTAAATAAACAGGTTGCCCTTCTCGAACCAAGAGAAGAAATATAGGGTTTTTTTTTCCTGAGTACACTGTAAAGGTTAAAATAAAATAACAGGTGCTGCTTTATTTCAAGTCTCCAGGGTGCAATTCATCATCAACTGACAGAGAAGGAGGATTATTTAACCATCATCTGATAGGAAGATTGTCAAAATAACACTGCTGATTATAGCTCATCAAGCACAGACAATTTGACAGTCACACAGCCAGTAGTTAAACACATGCTTATTAGTAAAAATGTATCCTAAAATAAAAGGTGACCCACCTTACTTAAAACTTCAGCCATTTCAAATGTACCAACTGTATCCATGTTAGTTGCTATAAGTGGGATTCCAGTGTAGGTCTGTTTGGAGTTGCGGAACGTAAAGGTTCTTCTGAGATCCACCTACAGAGGTGAAAAAAATGCTGTGAAACAGGCACCTATTCCACTCACTTTAACTTTTTTTTTAAATTGTTCCTGTCTGATTTACAAAACTTGTTAACATCTACTTATTAATGGGACTTATTATTATTTTCCCAATAAGTATTATTTCCCCATTTCCTTTTATTTTCACCTGTCTCCCAAACTAGTTTCTTAAATCTTTTGGTCAAAGGTTCTGAATGGTCACAATTGTTAATATTTGCAATTATATTGCAAGCTTATCAACCATTGACGATGAGAAGAATGCACTCTCTTTAGCTTTATTTTCCTTCACCCTCTTACTGATAACTTGGCCAATTTTTCTTTGAGAGCATCTTTCAAACTCATGACCATTAACTAGCAGGACGTGGGTGTGTAAGAATACCATTACCTCCAGATTTCTTCATAAATCACACACCATCCTGAGTTAGACACATATCACCATTTCCTTACTGTCAATGGGACAAGATCCTGAAATTTTCTTTCTAAGTGTACCATCAGAGTATCTTCACCGCATAAACTGAAGCAGCTCGAGGCAGCAGCCTACTCCTACCTTAGAGAAACTAAAGAACTAGGGATAGATAATAAAAGCCCAACTTACTAGTGATGCCCACATCCCACCAATAAATTAAACAAATATTTCATAGCCTCAGATGGATGTACAATTGTGAATGAGTTAATATGTCAGAATTTTTAGATCAACATGTCAATGTTTCAATTACTTTACTTCACTCACAAATGTTGCTTACTTGAACTCAGAAATCTGTAGATTCTATAGTTTCTGCAGTGCTTTTTTCTCCTCACTGTTGATAATAATGGCCATACAAACATTTACACTTATGCCAATTATCACATTGCCTCCCTTCGTCATTAGTTTATTCACATGCCATCTGTCTGACTTAAAGCACACACAAGGAATTTCTTAGGTGGAGGAATTATTTTTGGTAGACACTATGGCAATTGCTACTTAGAGGGACATTGCCTCCACCACGATAATAACACGATTACGTGTGATAAATGAATTTACACACATTTGTTGCACAGTAGAAAGATGATATCTGTTCCCAAGTAACATCACACAAAGCATTAATCCTTTTGCTTTTTTGGCTGGAACCCAAATTCAACTGTGCAGAATGATGTGAAACAGTCATGTCAGATGAAAAGAAAACGATCGGAACACATGTAATATCTCTGTCATTGCCAGTTAAAGACATGGCACTAAGAGTTAAAACAAACTGCCCAGCAGGCTAAAAAACATTCAAGTAATTCATTGAAAAGAAACAAGTCCTTGCTAGTTTTCCAAGCAAACCTAAAGTTAGGCTTCTTTTATGAGTACACGAATAGGAAAGGTTTCAAGGTATATGGGTCAAAAGCAGGCAAATGGGACTAGTTTAGTTTGGGAACATGGTCAGCATGGACTAGTTGGGCTGAAGGGTGTGTTTCCATGCTGTATGAATCTTATGAGAGGCATCCAAAAGGAAAAATTGATTGCTTTTTTAAGAGCTACTATTTAATTGCTTTCATTCTTTCCTTAAGAGCGCCCACTATTAAACTAATCTTGCTGCTGGAAACAATGCTCATACCTGTCTCTTGGGATGGCATGACCCCTTACTTTTATGCAACAGACTGTAGCAGTTGACATCAACAAAGTTGCATAGTTGCAATACAGGTCACCTACACTTTCGACATCAGGGGAATACCTACATTTCTTTTCCCTGGATAGACAAAGCAAGGTTAGAGAGTTTATTTTACATGCATTCACGGAACGTAGACATCACTGGCCAACCCAGGATTTATTTCCCATCCTTAATTGCCCAGAGAGCAGTTGAGAATCAACCACATTGTTTTGGGTCTGGAGTCACATGTAGGCCAGACCAAAGAAGAATGGCAGATTTCCTTCCCTTAAGGACATTAATGAACGAGATGAGTTTTTCTGACAATTGACAGTGGTTTCATGATCATCATTAGACTATTAACCCCAGATTTCTTTTACTGAATTTAAATTCCACCAGAGTGCTAGACCTGGTCCACACTGCAGGTTTCCACAGGGCAAAATTTGCCATAGACTGCATCCACATTGCTTTATGCGCCAACAATTACCTACCCTATCATTTCACCAACTAAAAAGGATTCTCCTTGTTCAACTTATAGCAGGTTTACAACCACAACCAATGCATTACTCATCTGTGCCAGATTTCATGGCAGTAATCATAACACTTTGATCCTGCCCAGCACTCAGCTAGCATTGTCGTCTAGTAGATAATCTGTTACTTGACAACCTGACTGGAATAAATGTGACACCAATGGCTAGCCCCTTACATTAAAAGCTCTACAGAATTATGGGCATTTGAGATCTTAGTGGATGTGCAGTGCACTGGGCCATAGTTACCTGGAGCTGGGGGCTGACTTCCTCCTGCAAGAAACCCAGATGCCTTTTGCGAACAAAGGGCAACTCTCAAACTTTCTATCTCCTTCTCCAAGGCCACCAGTGGCACATACAGCTACTTTGAAGCCGACTGTTTTCCATGTTGTGCCATTCTGCAATGTTTCATATCTAGAAATGACTTAAATCATATTTTGAAGCTGTGTCCCCTGGTTCCAGCCCCTGCAGCCAAGTGGATCATCTTTAAAAATCCGGGTTGATTTCCTCAAGAATTTGCATTGTTCAATTAAATCGCTTCTCATTCTTCTAAACTCTAAAGACTACAGTCCCAGCCTCCTTAATTTCCAACATAGGACAGTCCTGTCATTCTCAGGATCAATTTGGTTAACCTTGTTACATTTCCTCTTCGGCAAGTATATTCTTCCTTCTTTAACAGTCAGTTTCAAAGGAAAATAATAAGAGCCCATGGAGTTGAAGGGTGTACATTAGCATGATTAGAGGATTGGCTAACTAATAAAAGATACAGAATTGGGATAAAGGAAGCATTTTCAGGATGGCAACCTGTAACTAGTGGAGTGCCAGAGGGATCACTGCTGGGGCCATAATTATTTGCAATATATAGTAATGTCTTGGTTGGGGAGAGTGAATGTACTATCACCAAGTTTACTGCTGACATAAAATTAGGTGGAAAACAAGTATTTAGGATGACATAGAGGGACATAGGCAGTTAAGTGAGTGGGCAAAAACTTGGCCGTTGGAATATAATGTGGAGAAAATGCAAGATTATGCACTTTGGCAGGAAGAATAGAAGAGATGAAAATTATTCAAACATAAAGGGCTTGCAGAAACCTGCAGCACAGAGGGATTTGAGATTCTTGTGCACGAATCACAAAGGCCTGGCATCAAAGTCCAGTAGATAATAGAAAATGGGATTGTTGGCCTTATTTCAAAGGAAATGGAGTACACAATATAAGGAAGTCTTGCTAAAATTATACATAATTCTAGTCAGACAGACTACTGTGAACAGTTTGGTCCCTTCATGTAAGGAAAGATATCATGGCATTGAAGGCAGGCAGAAAATTCAGTAGGTTGATCCCAGGCTAGACAATTCTCTATCCATATTAATGTACCATGGGTTTTTATCTTATTAAGTAATGAGGACAGTGAATCTATGGAATTCTTTACTCCAGAATGCTGTCAAGACTGGGTCATTAAATATATTCAGGCTCAAACAACAGATGTTTAATCAGCGAGGTTAGGTGGAAAAGGCAGGAAAGTGCAGTTGAGGATTATCAGATCAGTATGATCTGACTGAAAGGCAGAACAGACTTGATGGATTGAATGGCCTACTTCTACTCCTACATCTTATGGGGCAAGGGAAATCATGTATAACTTTTTTTTGGAGTTCCTTAAAGGAGTAACATACAACGTAAGCATGCTATACTTGTATTTCCAGAAGGCATTTGATAAGGTGCTGTATCAAAAATTACTGCATAAAGTAAAAGTCAAAGGGATACTATATTAATATGATAGAAGTTTAGTTGGCTCACAGAAAATAGCGAAAACTTGGTATTTGTCTGATTTGCGGGGTGTAATGAGCTGAGTCCCAAAGGGGTCTATACTTGGTCCTCAAGTTTTAACCATTTAGATCAATGACTGAGATGAGCAGAGCAAAGGCATGGTAGCTAAACTTGCATACCTTTCCACTTATCTTGGTATTTCATGTTTTGAAGAAGACACAAGTAAATTGCAGATGGAAAATAGATAGTTTAAGTGAATGGGTAAAAATTTGACAGATGGAATATGTGGAAAAACATGAAGTTGCACACTTTGGCGGGAAGAATAACAAAGCAGAGACAAAACAACTGCAGACTTCCAAGGTGCAGAGGGATTTAGGTGTTTGAATCACACAATCACACAATATGGAAGAGGTCCTTTAGCCCATCGACTCTGTAGCACCAAAAATATACTACGACCTATTCCCAATTCCCTGCATTACGCCCATAGCCTTGAATGTTATGATATTTCAAGTACTCATCCAAGTACTTTTTAAGCATTGTGAAGTTATCTATCCCAACTAAATTTCCAGGCAGTGTACTCCAAATCCCCTTCACCCTCTAGATGGAAAAGCTTTTTCTCAAATCCCCTCTAAACCTCCCGCCTTTCAGTTTAGAAGTGTGTCCCATTGTTCATAACCTTTTGATAGTTGCTTTCTATCCACACTGTCCATGCCCCTCATAATCTTATACACCTCTATTACACACCCACCACCCCCCTCCCCAAAACCTTCTCTACTCCAAAGTAAAAAACCTGAGCTTATCTAGCCTCTCTTCATTGCATATTCTGGTGCATGTGTTACAAAATGATAGAATGCAGGTATTGCACATAATCAAAAAGGCTAATGTGGTTACGAGGAGAACCGAACATAAAAGTAAGGATGTTATTCTTCTATACACAGTATTAGTGTTACCACATCTCAAATACTGTGCATAGTTTGGTTTCCTTATTTAAAGAAGGATGTAAATATATTAGAGGCGATTCAATGGAGGTTTACTAGATTGATACCTGGAATGGGTGGTCTCTTATGAGCGGGGAAAGGTGA